GTGCTCGTCATTCCAATTTTCTTCGGCCAGGCGGCGTGGATCGAGCGCTAATCGGGCCACTATTCATTCCATTGCCGGCACAATCTTGTGAATTGACGATGAATTGTCGATCTCGCCATGACGCCGCAGAGAAAACTTTGTTATTGGTAGAAAATCTGACACCCCGCTGGCGTTTCACAACAAAATTTTAATGTAAACAACTCCGAATGTCTTTGTTTACATCGTGAATTCTCACCGATACTCCCGCCGGCCGGCCGCGCCCGACCACATGGTTGAGGCATGACACTAGTTTTCGGCAGCTCGGCGGAAAAATAATCCATCCCCAGAAGAAATGTTACGCATGAAAATAACAACTACAACTTGCTTTCCTCGTTATATGAGTTTTTGAGGCCGTAAAATGTTTAAAACGGTTGAAATTTGCTCGAAAAACGGCTCGAAAATCCACGGCGAGACTGCCAAAATGGCCGACAGTGTTTCACAATAACAGTGGTCAAAGGTCAAGACTGCATCCAAATGTACAAGATACATGTACAAAGTACATATCAGTCGAACCGCAGGTCACCGTAGAACGCGTTATTCTCTAAGATACGGCGTTTGCCGGGTCACGATTTGACCCCGTTGCATGGGTGTAAACAACTGCCTATATTGTAACAAAAATACCTCAGACCTACACAATGTTTACTTTTTTTCACATCTACAGGATTTGCCCAGTACAACCATGTAGATATTCCGTGCATTGCAAAATGACAGCGAGCGCTACGGCCTTCCAAAAATTAGCAATTTTTGGTCATTTTATTTGTGCTTGTCTTTTTTACTATTTAACTGGATCCCGTTAGCTAATACCACAGTGTGATAGCCCACTTCTTCACCTTTACATTGATACCAATGACCCCTGGCAAATTTAATGGCAAACGGGTTTGCCCCCAAAAAAACTGTGACGATGCGCACATCGCGGTGGTCAAATGTTAGCCCAGTTGTAAGATACTGACACACACCATCCTGAGTTTCCGCTACATTTTGATACATTTCGCGTAATGTCATAAACTTCGTTTCTTGGAATGAGAAACTGTATGAATGTGGCTACCACATGCAATATAATAAGTGATATGATACCATTCAATTATATACAAAAAGAGGAATTTAATACAAGGTTCTGACCATTCAAAAATCGTCAAATTTGAAGTCAATCGGTTTCGAACTCCTGCGTTCGATCCATGGAACCAAGGCAGCGCGTTCCATTTTTCGCGCCGCCAACAATGTTGCAACTTTCAACCGCTGTTTGCGAAAGTTCATAAAAAGAAGTAATCAAGTTTTTTCATCACAAACAGACTTTCTGAAACCCATTCCAAGTCAGACTTATATCATGAAGACGCTAGAGAAAGTGGGATTCATGTGCAACTATACCAATGTCAGTACATCTGCCCGATGTTTGTATATTTACAGTAACAGGTCATAGTGTCCGATTTCTCCTTCAAAAATTAGGTCATGAAAAATCAACCTGTTGTTGTATTTGTTCATGCCCAAATTCCTTCTCTTCTGTTTTCATCCGTAAAGTGGGTATCGTTTTGAAGCTTACTATTTGGTCGATATTCTTTCACTTTCTTTTTTGTTCTATATAACTTTTAACTGAACATTTTTAAAGGCAAAAAAACTGTAAAGAAATTACACTTTTCTCAAGGTCGAGCTGCAATACACATTGTGCAATTTCAAAACTAAGTACACAGGTGTCAAGCCAACATAATTATATTTCAGCCACATCTTGCATTACAGGTGTATTGGTTAGAACTAGTTGCAAAAGCTTGAGATTCGAACAAAAATCGTTGAGAATTCGACTGAATGAGCTCAACTTACTATCGGTTACTATATTTAACAACTACAGGATCCCAAAAGAAACAACACACGATAGATGAGGGAGGGTCTATACTTTATTAAACAATACACCAAAATCGACGATGAAAATAGGGCAAACGGGTTTTGCCCCCAAAAAAACTAAAGGGTACCTATCTCGAGTGGAATCATCTCCATCAGACACGGTCAACTTTGAAACCTCGTTTCTCCAACAAACACCACCGGTAATGTACATCTACGACCTTGAGCGTGACGCCGGCTCTTCTTACATCTCACGTTAACGTATGACAAGGAAACACTTACGCAAGCGGAGTTACAAGCGAAACAGTAAACAGTACCAAACTCTCGCGGATTCTCGCGGATCACATTACCTTGGAAAAGAAGCGCGAGATTTAAACGAGATCTTAGAGAGAGCTGCGCAGAACCGATGCGCATAGCGGTCTGCGGTTCGACTGATATTACAATGTGCTAAAACGAAACTTTAAACGCATGAAAAAATTTTTTCGGCTACAACTGAAATAAAAATTCACTAATATTTTTATAAGGTTAATTTTCAAACATTACTGAGAAATTTTCCGAATTTATTGTTTTTTTTGTTGTTAAAATGTAATGTTGTTTCTATGAATGTGCGGTTGGATGCTGTGATTGTGAAGTCCCTTACATTGGGGAGAATCAGATGAGATATTAGAGATTATCACGCTTAGTACCGCGACCCGAGTGTCTCTCAAAAATTGTTTTTGAGTGGAGGTTATAGACATGATTTATTTGTTTAGCTTTGTCAATATGTGATTTGTTTGGGAAATAGGATTTGGTTTAGTTTTTAATATATTAATGTCAGTAATATGTTAATGTTAATATATTAAAAACTAAACCGAAATAGGATTTGGTTAGTTTTTAATATATCAATGTCAGTAACACTTTGGAAAACTTGCTCCAAGTTCCAGGTAGTAAATACATGTACATTTTGTATCATGTATTTTTCACTTGTTGAACTTGTGGAAGCACCATTGGCCCCCGGTTAGGGGTCATCCGGGTAACCTATGCCCAATTTTTTCAAAATTAAGGATGCTAATAGAATTTTTTTTAAACATAAAGAGGGTAATTAAGTACAGATCTTGGACCTTTCTCCTGCCTTATACATCTGCAGTTGTACAGAAAATGTAGAACTGAAGTTGCAGGAAATGACCTCCATTTGTGTTTGGAAACGACAAAATGCAATAGCTTCGCACCCTCCTCCACCCTGCTATGAATTTCTGGGGAGATCCCTGTATATATATATATATATCTATATGGCCTATGGGTTTTACACATTACTGCAAATTTGTATAGAGCATTTATTCAGCATATTGTAAATTTCTGTTCAACTTCAAACTCTATTAATGTAATCTTTCTGATAATTATTAAGCTAAAAAATCAAGGACTCTTATTTCAAAAACTTGATAGCATTGTTCCTGCTCAATGTATGCATGCAATGCAATGATAACAAATTGTGTGAACTCAGAGTCAGATCTCGAGTTAGAATATAGATGGCTAATGTACTAAGATATAGACTGTACGTGACATATACCCCATGTACATGCACTTTTCAATAACTTGTAAGAATGCAGGCTGATAATTTGGTACTTTTCCAGCTGAGGGTATGTTTATTCTGGGCGGGTATATTTTTTAGGTTTTGAAGATTTGTCGGGGGTACTTTTATTCCAGAGTCATGTTTATTTGGGATACATACACCATGAGAACACATTTTAGTAGCATAAACAATTTGGCTTAATTACATGTCAATTTTAAAATTTTCCGAGGGGTACTTTTATTCCAGGGGGTACTTTTATTACATTTTGAAGATTTGTCCGGGGGGTACTTTTATTCCAGGGGGTACTTTTATTCGAGAGGTGAGAGTAATATTGTACATTGTACTTGAATGTATATTTCTAACAACTCTAACCTTCAATGATGTAACAACCTGTATTTATATCATTCTTGGAAAAGATTAGGATGTTCCCTGTAGTGTTACTTTAGGTATACAGATTACATCATACAGTCACGATTCTTCCTTTGACGTTGTTGTGTTGACGCACTCACTCACAATCTAATCCTGATTGCCAATTATCTCCATTATGATGACTTAGATCATCCAGTGTACACCGCTTTTCCTGGATGGCAGTGATTAAGCGACTAAAATGCAGCAACCCTAGAAATTAACTTCATATGGAAATGTGCCATGCGCAAAACATTAGAGATGTAGCGTCGACTATGTGATAATACTGTTGTTTCCTAGATATCCAGGTAATAAGACACGCCAAAAAACAGTTACTCAAGCAACTAGATATGATTTTGGAATTTTGTTTTTCCAAAGTCATATCCAGTTGCTTGAGTAACTGTTTTTTTGGCGTATCTTAATACCTGGATGTCTAACCTTCATCGACGTACCTAAGCCAAGACTATTTCTTTTTAGGCAGGGTATTGAACTGTATTATATTGTTGTGGTGTGCAAGGGTTGAATACAGGATTACTTGAGATCTGAAGTGTTTTTGCCGCACTTTCGAGTGTACAAAAAGAGCCCTTACTCCACTTGAGTTAAAAGCATTCGCAATTTCGGTCCTGGGAGCTGTTAAGAGCTGTGTTAAGTCAGTTAAGCTTTTAAAGATGAAACTCTAAAGTGTTACACTCAATCAGTGGGAATATTGTACTTGTTAGGAGCGGAAAATCCCAAACCACCTCTCCATTAATAACACTGTTTAGAAGAAGACTTTAACTCAAAGAATATGTAAAAGAAAAACATAAAGCTATACATGTAATTTTAGCTAAAAAAATCAATCTAGCCTGAGTCAATCACTCTTGTAGCATGCAGTTAGCCCGTAGTATCAGGAAGAAATTGTGTAACACAGACTAATTATAATTACTAGTAATAGCAAGAAGGGATAAAATGATTTCTCTCTTGAACTGTAGTTGTGTGTGTAGTAAGTTTGTGTGTTTTGGTATACCGTATAGAATGATGAACAAAATAATGAACAAGTTCTATACTTGTATGTTTCAGGACAGTAAGACAGAGTTTTAGGTTCCCGGATGTTTCACCTGTGACTCTATGGTGTACTTCTATGTTTCAGGAGAGTAAGACAGAGTTTTAGGTTCCCGGATGTTTCACCTGTGACTCTATGGACTTGTACATGATGAACTGTGAGCTCTTGGCGACATGCAGTGCTTTGGGGTACTTGGAGGGGGACACATACCACAAGGAGCCAGACTGCCATGGTGGGTATTGTACAAGTGTTTGTGTGTGTCTGTGTGTTTCTGTGTGTGGTAAGTGTGTATGTACATAACAATTTGTACACTGTATCATGTATGTGTGTGTGTTTGTGTCTTTGTGTCTGTTTTTATTTAATTTGTAGCTTTGGACTGTGATTACTTCAGGCTTTCATCAGGCTCCCTTAATCCATAAAACGTAACTCCTACAGAAACTGTAAAGGACCTGATCATTTGTGTGTGTACATGTATACCGGTATGTGTCTTTGTCTCCAGTCTGTGTGTGAGTTTTTATTTGTAGTTTTTAGACCTGTGATTACACTTTTAATCTTTCATCCATAAATCATATCTTCTCCCCAAGAGAAACTGTGATGGTCCTGATCATTTGTGTGTCTGTGTTTGCACGTGCGCCTCTAGACTTTGTGTGAGCTCCTGTAGCTTATAGGTATTAGTCTTGGACCTGCAATTACACTTTTAATTAACCTTTCATTGATGATCATAAATTATATTCCCAACAGAAACTGTGAAGGACCTGATTCGGTACCTTCGGCGAGAAGATGAAACTCGAGACATCAGACAGCAGCTGGGCGCAAGTCAGATCGTACAGACGGACCTCATCCCGATTATCAAGCAGTATCACGATGACAAGGCGCTCTTCGAAACCATCATCAGGTTTGTCTAGATCTGTTTGTTTGTTTGTTTGTGATGGCACAGACCGACCTCATCCCGATTATCAAGCAGTATCATGATGACAAGGCACTCTTCGAAACCATCGTCAGGTTTGTATTATTGTGCAGACTAGCCTCACATGAAACTATCAATGTGCATTTGTGCTCTCTGGCAGTATTCTTTTGAACTGTATCAGCCGGTGTTTGAAGTTGAAACTTTTGATACAACAAAAGAAATGGTGTCATCTAGAGCTTTTGACCCAGTCACTCTGGTCTTCTTCTGGGAAACCATGTGACAAGTCTCACTGTGTCAGTCTATTAAACAAGACCAGAGTGACTGGTCAAAAGCTCTACATGAGAAAATTCCTTTGTATTGGATCAAAAGTTTTAACTTTAAACATGTAACTACCAACACAGATGAACTTTCATGACTGTATCAGTTGGTATTTCCCGTGAAAATAATAGATGAATCCAGAAGTTATGAAGTTATTGCTTTTTTCGTAAACAGACTTTCGTGTACAGAACTTGTTTCATTCTAAATGATGATTAAATTTTGCTGTACAGTGTTCTATGTACACTTCACTGTCACAGTTTACTGTTATTGCAATAAAACCTAAACAAGCCTGACCTAAAACCTTAACGGAACATTTTTATCCCCAGGTTGTTGGTTAACCTTACCCAGCCGGCCATCGTGTGCTTCGGGAAGGTTCCTAAGGACAAGATGTTCAGACACTACTTCTTAGACGTGGTGTCTTACCTACAGGGGTACAAGGTGGTAAGTAGGGCTGGTCCTGGGAGACTTCTAATCTTTAATACCACCATTAACACTGATTTAGAAATACTTGTCAATAGTGCTGCATACCTAAACCCAATTTTAGGTTCAGGTCCGGATTCAAGTCCAGAGGTTTAGGTTCAGTTCCGGACTTGTAAGTCTGGACCTAAACCCATGGCATATACAAAATTGCATGTTGGCAACTTTGCTGTGTTGTCTGGGTGAAACTTTGGCCACACAACATGGAGGCTGGTACTTGACGATGCCCGATGGCAATATGTTTTCTTCATTTTGCAACAAAGATTTTGCAATCTACGGAAGGTTTTAGGTGGTTTGGAAAGAAAAGGGGTATGTGAAATGGTCTTTTATGGTAATAAGTCCGGACTCGGTTCTTGACTTTTAGGTTTTTTTGGACTTGAACCTAAACATTCTTACAAGTCCGGATCCAAGTCCAGTGAACCGGTATGCAGCACTACTTGTCAATGTCAAGATCTTTTGATAAGCAAGCAATCCATACATTTTAATTTTTAACAAATTTGTACAATTGCAAGTTATTGATATTTGCTTTTGTTTTCATCTGAAAAGAATGTTTTAAACATGTCATCCTACTTACGAGTACAAGGTGGTAAGTAAGTTTTTCCCGTGTTTTTTTCCAGGCGTTTGCAGATGGAGAAGTCTGGACAGTCCTTAGCAGAAAACTGTACGAGCTTCTTCAGCTGGTAAGCCTACATGTACATGCTTCAAGGCACCTCTGAAATCTAAAAGTTGTTGATACATTTTGTTACTTACATGTACATGATAGAGTACATTCCATGCAATAAGTCCAAAGCTAAGTCCTTTTATGAAGCATTCTGTCCCAAAATTCCACCATGGAATATCTAACTTTCTAAGCATTTTTTTACAAAGAAGGAAAAGATACTCATAGCTACAATGTAACAAACAAACGTCTTGAAAAGATTGAAGTGAAAAATTATTATTATACAATGTATATAAAAGAACAACATAACTGTTTTGTAACGCCCCTCAGGATTGGGAGAATCGGCAGGAGGAAGACTCCCTGCTGATAGAACGGATGCTCCTATTGGTCAGGAACATCCTCCATGTTCCGGCTGACCCAGAAGAGGAAAAGGTACTGAAAAATTAAGACTTTTTCAAAATATTTGTAACTTTTCTCTTTTTTCTTTTCATGCTTTGCAAGAATCCGTAAAAATCTGTAGTTTTTTTCTCAAAGAAAGATTATGCTTCTGCTGCTGAAAAAGTCATACTTCTGCTTCAGCCTTGAAATATCATCAGAATTTTCTAAGAATTGCTGAATTATAAGTAAGGTCTTGGCAACTAAATTGAGCAATTTTATATTGCTGGCTGATTGCTCAATGTTGTTTGTAATAGCGTATGGACATGACACTGATTTGTAGCTTTTTTTTCTCAGAAGGTTCTTTTTAAAGTTATAATTAATATGCTTTATGCTTTGCAAGAAGCCTTCAAAAAATCATCAAATTTTCTTAGTTTTTTTGAATTATAAAAAATAAGTAAACTCTCAGCAACTAAACAAACGAACTGTTTTTAAATGCTGGCTGATTGTGTGATGTTGTTTCTAACAGCGCACAGATGATGACGCGAGTGTGCATGACCAAGTGCTGTGGTAAGTCCTGCTGCTTTCTGGCAAAAATTGTTTTTGGTACAATTTTATACATGATTGTATACTGTTCCTGCATGAGCTAGCTTTTATTTTATGCTGACGATAACAGTAAGCTTTTTGCTGTGATACTGTTTCAAGTAAAACATACAAGCATGCAGTTTCTGTGAGTGCATACATGTATGCAGGGCTAGAAGCACATGGATCACCAACATAAGCAGGTGAAATTAGGGCTGTTCAGGTATTTCTGATGTTTACATACACCAGTCCTGGTCCTACATGTAGGTACATGCACTGGTGCAGGTTTGCAGGAAAAATGTGTTTCAAACCTTGATGTACAATGTACATTTTGTAGAATGATGCTGTTCACTTGACATATGTTCTTCCCAGGACCTCTAACAACAGTAAAACATTCAGAACCTTGCCCCAAAGGTTGGCTTAAGTTTTGGAGCAGTCTGACCATATTTATGTCATGTCTAGGAGTTCGTCAGTGTTTGGGAGGCCATATTCAGCTATGTGGGACAGGTTTAACATTACATACATACATACATATTGTGTACTTCCCAGGGCGATCCACCAGAGTGGGTTCGACGACCTTCTGAAGTTCATTGCCAGCTCGGACAGCGAGCAGCAGTGGTGCATGCACGTCCTGGAGATCGTCTCCCTCATGTGCCGAGAACAGGTAACCTTTCACCTTTAACTTCTAACCTTTAACATCTAACATTTAACATGCACATCCTGAAGATACATTTTGTAGTCCCCCTCATGTGCAGGGAACAGGTGAACTGTCAACACTAACCTCTAACCTTAACCAGCATGCCCTGGAGATCATCTCTCTTATGTGTTGGGAAGAGGTAACCTTCCCACTTTAACCTCTAATCTTTAATCTGCATATCCTGGAGATCGTCTCACTACACACTTGTGCTGGGAACAGGTTTCAACCTTTTAACATTAACCTCACACCTTTAACCTGTATGTCATAAAGACCCTACATATATTTGCATGGGACCGGTATAAATCATGAAATTACTTGTACATATATGTAATTACAAAATTCACACTCAAATTCACCTTGCCTTTTGCCTACCCAGTGACTTCAACCAGCTTCTTAAGTCCCAGAAAAGTTTGTCTTATTTTAGTATGTATGGTGTGGTACATGAAGTCTTAAAATGACTGGATGTCTAACCTTCATCGATGTGTCTGAACCCTTCCCCTGTGTTACAGACCTCGGAGCAGCTGGCCCGTGCCGGCCAGGGTCGGTCCTCGGGGGAGAAGGCTCAGGACGAACTTGAACTCCAGACCACGCGGCAGCGGGAACTGGCCGATCGACAGGCGAGAATCCGCGCTCTGGGAACCAGGTAGTCTAGTACTTCTTTCTTCATCTTCACAATATTACTAAGTACCTAGTACCAGCCCAGAAGAGAACAAGAAATAGCCATGCCTTCAAGTACCAGACTTATCAACCAAGGATTGAGGTGTTCAAGAATTCATTCTTTCCTACAACTATCACAGAGTGAAACTTGCTGTCACCAAGTACAGTAGGGGCATTGTCATTAGATAGCTTTAAACAATGTCTAGAGTTAGATGTTCAAGGGTTAGGTCTAACAAGTCGATCGGTGTGATATAGCCAGCTGCCGCCGCACCGCATGCCTGCGAAGCTGGTGTGTTACGCCGAAGGGCGGTTATACTGGCTATATACAATGTACAGTAGATACAGGTAAAGACACAGTTGTGAATGTTACAGTCTTGTTTTCCTTTTCCCATGCCAGACACTCTCGGTTCGGCGGTACGTTTGTTGTCCAGGGGATGAAGTCCATCAGTGACAAGGACCTGATCTACCATCAACCTTTGAAAGAGATCAGTCAAGTGTCTTTCGACAGAGAAAAGGTAAGACAGAAAACTCCTCCCTTCTGCCTAACCCTGTAAAAAGGTCTACCCGTGCTCCATGCAGGGTTTTGGTGCCCATGCCCATTTTCGTAGCCCTTGAGCAACACACAGTTGTGCAAGGCACTACAGCAGGGGCTAGTCTGCTGGTAGTACTGTGTGTTTGACCTTCCCACACTCTTTCTCATATGTGCTGAACATGGTGGCAGACATTGACAAATCAGGCCATTGGCCAGGTCAGAGGTTAGTGTTTGGAACAGAAGAAGAAGAAATGTAGTAAAAACAATATGTTTTCCTTCGGTACATAATAAAACTGAGCTACCTCAAATCCAATACATGTACACTGATACATACAATTCACCAGGCTTTATCATATAACACTCTTTATTCCTTAGGATGAGAAATCTCAATGCACACAAACTATTGTCTTGTATTTGTAAAGCTAACTTAATAATATTGGTGATAAAACAGGGCTAGAAATTCATTTTTGGGAACAGGTGCACTGGTGCACCCAACCTGAAAAATTGGGTGCACAAAAAATATTTTCGGTGCACAATAAGATGAAATAAGTAGAATGTCATCAAAATCTTTTGTTTCATTTCTAAAGAAAAGTACAACACCGGTAACAAGGATTTCGTCATTTTTTCTGACACTTAGACATTACTGTATACTACTATACATTTAACATCTTAACATATGTAAACCTATGAAAATATTTGGGTGCACCAGTACATGCACCCGATATTTCAAGCTCTACTGAGATTTGTCTTGAACAAAACTACACAAAAAGGAAAAGAGATATTCTTTTCAGTTAACTTATCTTTCTCTTAGCCTTTTTTTATCCAAACTCTCAAATCATGTTATATACACATGTGTGCATATTAAGATTAATACACTATCTATATTTGTATAATGAAGACATTGTATTATGACAACTTGCACTTTAATTTTGGTACTGGATCAGTTTCAAAGTTTGATTTTGGCTGATTGTGTTCTATGGGGCCTTAAGGCTGTGAGTTCGGGTGTTTCAGTGGAAGTCCTAAATATTTTTGCTTTATGGTACTGCAAACAGTTTTCTCTGCCAATATAGAAACAAGCTTAAGTCAGTTGAGACAAAAAAATAAAAAGGGTACAGATTGTTTGAGTTTGATTATCACCTCACTCAGATTCAGAAGTTCTGGAATATGGTGACTTTTTGATCTTCATCAGTTACTACCAGCTGTCCCTGTGTTGCCATGGCAACAGCATATGGCTCCTTCATGTCTGTAGTGATGTGTTTGAGGAATTTTCCTGTCTTGTCAAACATCTCCACACGTCTGTTTCCCTTGTCTGCCACGATTATGTTCCCTGCCCTGTCTGTACAGATGCCACGGGGTTTATACAGCTGACCTTCACCACATCCCCAACCTCCAAACTTGAACAGAAACTGTCCGTCCTCGTTGTACACATAGACACAGTGGTTGTCACGGTCTGACACAAGAATGTTCCCTTCCCCGTCCACAGTGATGTACTGTGGCCACCCCATCCCCTGCTGCTGACCCACAGTTCTCACAAGACCCACAGTTCTCCCAAATATCCCTTTTTTCCCGAACACCAAAACTTCACCATGTAGGTTAGACGGGTCTTCTGTGGTCTGTGTGATGAGGATGTGGTTCCTCCTGGTGTCCACGGCAACTCCTCTGCCCCGCCCTGTCTTCTGTAGGTCAAACTTCCTCAGCACCCTGCCCTGTTTGTTGTACTGCACAGCAAACTCAGCAGAGTCCATGTCCCCCACCACCCACAGGTTCTCTGTCCTCCCCACCACCCACAGGTTCCCCTCCCCGTCCATGGCCACATCATGTGGGTACATCTCCTGTTCACCTGGCACAACTGTTGGGAACTGTCGGACGAACGTTCCCTGTAGGGTGAAGACTTGGATTCTCTGGTTCTCTTTGTCTGATACAAAAATCTCCCCTTCTTCTGACACTGTAACACCAAGTGGATCATTGAACTGTCCTGTTCCTGATCCCCGTTCACCAAATGTCACCATCTGAGGCTGAAGCTCCCCTTGCCTTTGGTTACCATGGTGATGACCTGTGCCCCTTGCTGCAGGTGCTGCTGGGATTGGTGCAGATGGGAGAGACTGGACCGTCACATGTCCCAATACTGGCACGGGGGTGTCTGTGGGCTGAAAGACAGCAGGCTGGGTTTGTACAGGAGTTGGTGCTGCTTTTCCTCTGTACTTTCCTACCACCTCTGTCAGAGCGGTTTGCTGACTGAGAAACTGGACCCATTCCTGCTGCAGTTTTTGTTCTGCTCGATCACAGGCAGCAGACAGTTCATTGATATCTGTCAACACTCGGTCCCTTTCAGACTGTATTCTGTCCAAGTTTTTTGTGTGGTTTTCTTCCGATTCAGACAAGAGGTGGTCTTTTCTCTGGGTGAGTTTCTGCACCATTTGGTTGTAGGCCTGAATGATGCTGTTGTCTCTCTGCTGTTTCTTTTCATTCAGGGTTTTCTCTTCTTCCCTCAGACTTCTGAGGAAGTTTAAGTAACTTTCCACGATGTTCCTCCCTTCATTGATCAAGGCCTGGACTGTGGAGCTCCTTTCCTGTGCAGCTTTTTTGATGGATGTTGTGCCATGGCCATCGTGAGTTTCTTCTAAACACTGATCACACACTCGTACCTGGCATTGTGTGCAGTACACTTTGAGCTCTTCAGAAGGGTGAAAACTGCACCTGCTTGCAGACTGGGCTTGTTGTTCCCTTGTTTCTTCTGACAGTGTAGCCTGCTGTTGAAGTCTCTCACACAAACTGGCTATGATGTGACTGTCAGGCAAACCTGCGACCCCCTGGGGGGGTGGCCTGACCTGCAGACGACAGATTGGGCACAAGAGAGGCAGTTGTCTACTTGCTAGGTCCTGTAGACAGTCCTGACAGAAGATGTGTCCACATGGCAGCACCTTGGGCCTGGTGAACAGCTCCAGGCAGATACTGCAGGACAGTTCTTCCTTGAAATGTGTCCCCAAACTAGACGGTGCAGCCGCCATGATTTTTCTTCTTGCCAATGTGGCAGCCTCGGCCCAAGTCAAAGTCTGGTTTGGACCATGTTTGCTGCTGTGGACTGAACTAAAAGCTGAGGGAGACTGAATGAACTTTTTTCCACCTTTTAATTTATTCCAACCTTAGGGAACTTGCTGAAAAGCTCAGTGCTAACCAAAATTTGATAAAAGATAAAGTAAGACTATAATTATTATGATACTGTTAGCTTGTATCCAATGCATGTAATTATAAGCCAGATGTATATCTCACCCCTTTGCTGGTTTATGAGTTGGTTCAGACCAAAAATTAATGATCAATACCTAAACTAAACAGCAGGTGCTTGTCATGTGCTTGTTTGCTTTAAGAAGGTAGAGATTTGATCGCTAAAACAATTCAATTCTGTAATTATACTAACAGTGTCACCGATTCCTGCTTTAGTCCATTTGAAGAAAGGCATGTCTGATATCAACCAAATTTACACCCCAAACCAGCCCTGTGTTTTTTTTCTCTGTTCAAAATATTAATGTGTTGAAGCACACTATTTTTGTGCAGTGAAACTTTGCCTGCAGTTCTTTGCTAAGTCAACAGAGGGTGCTGATGCACAGCACGTCTACCTTGTACTACTGTAGTATTATCCGTTCTACTGTAACATTTTCAAAACAATTCTTTTGCTTTGTAGAGCAGTTTCTTCTAATAATACATCATCAACAAGCTTTATACAACAACAGAGTTAAACTTAATGTGAACTGATATTGTTACAGATTGGTTCAGTAATTAAGGGTTAATGACCCGGCCCGAGGTGAATATGGTGTGTCGAGTGTCCAAATTTCCAGTTAAACATTTTCTACATGTATGTATTGTGAAACAGTGTGACGTCACTTTGTCTTCTCAAACAGTGGCGCCATTTTGATTCTGATGACGTCAGGTTAGGGATAGACCACTTCATACTAGGGGTGTACACAGACAAACAAACAGGGGCCAAAGTTCAAGAACAAGATTAAACACAGCAGGCCACAAAATTCTAACTCCAATTTGTATTTATACACATCTTTGTACATTGTATTTGTAAAAGTAGTTGGGAATACACTGGTTTTCATGACAAAATTTACATACTGAAAATTGTCAAGTATTCAAACTCAAAGTTTTATCATGAAGGTCAACAGAAATACATGAACACACAAAGTTACCAAATGTAAATATTCCTTCTTACTTAAATTGACTGTGCCAGAATAAAAAAACTCATTTAAATCATATTAGATTTAATATAATTATTGAACTCTTTAAATGCATTCAATAGTGTACATTTTGTTCTAACCACTTTCTCTTTGTTTTCAATTTCCTCTTTTGTTATGGTCAAACCTTGATTTTACCTCAGTTTGGTCTAAGAGGCCTTTAGGCTGAAAGCCTGGGCAATTTATTCAAAACAATTCTTTTGCTTTGTAGAGCAGTTTCTTCTGATAATACAACATCATCAAGCTTTATACAACAATGCTAAGAGTTAAACTTAATGTAAACTGATATTGTTACAGATTGGTTAAGTTTGATTATCACCTCAATCAGATTCAGAAGTTTTGGAATAAGGTGACAGTGTTCTTTGCACTATCAGTTACTACCAGCTGTCCCTGTGTTGCCATGGCAACAGCGTATGGCCCCCTCATACCTGTAGTGATGTGTTTGAGGAATTTTCCTGTCTTGTCAAACATGTCCACGCGGCTGTTTCCCGTGTTTGCCACGATGATGTTCCCCGCCCTGTCTGTACAGATGCCACGGGGATTCTTCAGCTGACCTTCACCACTTCCCTCACCTCCAAACTGGAACAGAAACTGTCCATCCTGGTTGTACACATAGACACAGTGATTACTAATGTCTGACAAAAGAATGTTCCCTTCCCCATCCACAGTGATGTACATTGAGAACTTCATCCCCTGCAGCTGACCCACAGTTCTCACAAGTGTCCCATCTGGCCTGAACACCAAAACTTCACCATGCAGGTTGCCCATGCCTCCTGTGGTTTGTGTGATGAGGATGTGGTTCCTCCTGGTGTCCACGGCAACTCCTCTCGCCCACCTTGTTTTCTGTAGGTCAAACTCCCTCAGCACCCTGCCCTGTTTGTCGTACTGCACAGCAAAGTTAGCGGAGTCTGTGTCCCCCACCACCCACAGGTTCCCCTCTCCGTCCATGGCCACATCATTTGGTCTCATCTCCTGTTCACCTGACACGACTGTTGGGAACTGTCGGATAAACGTTCCCTGTAAGGTGAAGACTTGGATTCTCTGGTTCCCCCTACCTGCTACAAAGACCTCCCCTTCATCTGACACTGTAATGCCCCATGGATCATTGAACTGTCCTGTTCCGGACCCCTTTTCACCAAATGTCACCTTCTGGGGCTGATGCTCCCCTTGCCTGTGGTTACCATGGTGATGACCTGTGCCCCTTGCTGCAGGTGCTTCTGGGATTGGTGCAGATGGGAGAGACTGGACCGTCACATGTCCCAATACTGGCACGGGGGTGTCTGTGGGCTGAAAGACTGCAGGCTGGGTTTGTACAGGAGTTGGTGCTGCTTTTCCTCTGTACTTTCCTACCAACTCTGTCAAAGTGGTTTGCTGACTGAGAAACTCGACCCATCCCTGCTGCAGTTCTTGTTCTGCTCGATCACAGGCAGCAGACAGTTCATTGACATCTGCCAACACAATGTCCCTTTCAGTCTGTATTCTGTCCAAGTTTTTTGTGTGGTTTTCTTCTGATTCAGACAAGAGGTGGACTTTTCTCTGGGTGAGTTTCTGCACCATTTGGTTGTAGGCCTGAATGATGCTGTTGTCTCTCTGCTGTTTCTTTTCGTTCAGGGTTTTCTCTTTTTCCCTCAGACTTCTGAGGAAGTTTAAGTAACTTTCCACGATGATCCTCCCCTCATTGATCAAGGCCTGGACTGTGGAGCTCCTTTCCTGTGCAGCTTTTTTGATGGTTGTTGTGAGATGATCATCATGAGCCTCTTCAAAACACTGTTCGCAAATTGGAATCTGACACAGTTTACAGAACTGCTTTAGTACCTTAGAAGGGTGAGAACTGCACCTGTTTGCAGACTGGGGTTGTTGTTCCCCTGTTTCCCCTGACAGTGTAGCCTGCTGTTGGAGTCTCTCACACATACTGGCTATGATGTGACTGTCTGGCAAACCTGCGAACCCCTGGGGTGGTGGCCTGACCTGCCGACGACAGATTGGGCACAAGAGAGGCAGTTGTCTAGTTGCAAGGTCCTGTAGACAGTCCTGACAGAAGATGTGTCCACATGGCAGCACCTTGGGCCTGGTGAACAGCTCCAGACAGATACTGCAGGACAGTTCTTCCGTGAAATGTGTCGTCAAACTAGACGGTGCAGCCGCCATGATTTTTCTTCTTGCCAATGTGGCAGCCTCGGCCCAAGTCAAAGTCTGGTTTGAACCATGTTTGCTGTGGACTGAACTAAAAGCTGAGGGAGACTAAATGAACTTTTTTCCACCTTTTAATTTATTCCAACCTTAGGGAACTTGCTGAAAAGCTCAGTGCTAACCGAAATTTGATAAACGATAAAGTAAGACTATAATTATTATGATACTGTTAGCTTGTATCCAATACATGTAATTATAGGCCAGATGTATATCTCACCCCTTTGCTGGTTTATGAGTTGGTTCAAAACAAAATGTTAATGATCAATACCTAAACTAAACAGCTGTGCAGGTGCTTGTCATGTGCTTGTTTGCTTTGAAAGGGTACGGTAGAGATTTGATCGCTAAAACAATTCAATTCTGTAACACTATAGCATTAGCAGTGTCACTAATTCCTGCTTTAGTCCATTTGAAGAAAAGCATGTCTGATATGAACCAATTTTACACCCTAAACCAGCCCTGTATTTTTTTTTCTCTGTTCAAAATATTAATGTATTAAAGCACACTATTTTTGTACTGTGAAACTTTGCCTGCAGTTCTTTGCTAAGTCAACAGAGGGTGCTGATGCACAGCACGTCTACTTTGTACTAGTATTATCCGTTCTACTGTAACATTTTCAGTAGGGCAGAGGGCACTAATTAGCAGCAGTATTGACGGTAGATATAGAGAAATTGGCAAATTCAGGCTGTCATCATTCTAACTTACTCCAGTTTTGCAGGCATACCTGCATACTGTGTAACAGTGGGGTTCAAGTGTTGCAAACTGATCCATTTCCAATGGGTCCAGACCTTTTGGAGGGCCTGCATGGGGGGGGTCATGATTACGAATTACGCAAAAGTTTTGCCACCGATTATGAATTACGTTAACGTCTCGGAGCTGATTACGACTTTATACTTTGCGGCTAATGTATTTTTACGAAATACGTTGATTTTTAGGGAGGCTGCCTACGGATTACGAAGACTAAAAAGGCCTGATTACGCCTTACGAAAAAGGGCATGCAGGCCCCCCTTTTGGCATAGTTATTAGTGCGCTGGTGCCATGAGCTGGCGGCGTGGGTTTGATTCCCTGCTTCCCAGGAGTCAGTTTTTTTCCTGCTTCTATACTCGCTCCTGTTTGTTTCAACTGTGAAAACTATATAATTATATAATTAGTAATCTTATCAAATATATTATAAAATAATTTATAAACATATTGATAATATAAATATCTGAACACCCAAGTTAACAAATGCAAAGAGTCCTTTTCAGTTATATTGACTTGGCCTAGAGCTGTGTACCGGTACACAGTACCGATACTGTACCGGAAAAATTGATTAGGTACAGGTCCAAAATACCTAATCCCTCAGTACCGGTACTGTACCTAAACAATTTCACACCAATTTTATGCCTATTTGTGACCTCAAATGTGTAAATAGCTGGTTAACAATGGGTCCCTGTGTAAGGACAGTGTGTTCATGAAAACAAAAACACCTATATTTTATCTGAGCATTCGCCATAAACAAAGAATAAACCTTAACTATCAAGTTTATTTATGTTTTTTGTTATTGAAGGAGTTCAGAAGAGCATATAAATTGGTTGAATTGTTCAGGTACAGGTTCAGGTCCGGACCTGTACCTAAACCTGTGTACCTGTACCTGTACCTGTACCTAAAATTTGTTTAGGTACACAGCTCTAACTTGGCCAGAATAAAAACTCTTTGAAAATCATATATGACAGATAATAACTGTTACAAAATGTACATGTACGCCTGTCAAGCTTCAGCTGGTATTTACTAGTAGAGCCCAGTCCTGCACATTTGCCTGTGATATGTCAAGTGTCGAAATTCCAGTTAAACATTTTCTACATTGTATGTATTGTGAAACAGTATGACATCACTTTGTCTTCTCAAACAGTGGCGCCATTTTGATTCTGATGACGTCAGGTTAGGGACAGACCACTTCATACTAGGGGTGTCAACAGACAAACAAAAAGGGGCCAAAGTATAAGAACAAGATTAAACACAGCAGACCACAAAGTTCTAACTTACTCCAATTTTTATTCTTAAACATCTTTGTACAGTACATTTTATTTGTTAAGCTAGATTCGAGTACAGTGGTTTTCATGACAAAATTTGCATAAAAAATTGTTAAGTATTCAGACTCAGAGTTTTATCACAAAGGACAACAAATATATCTGAACACACAAGGTAACACTAACAGATCTAGATGCAAAGAGTCCTTTTCAGTTATATTGACTTGGCCACAATAAAATTTAAACTCTAACTTTGAAAATTTAATCATAATATTATGACAGATAAAATAGATCCACTCTATATGAATACATTTTGTATACAATTATGTATAATGACAACTTGCGTTTTTATCTTAATATTAATAATGTCAATTTGCTCTTTTATTGACAATGACAATGAAGTTCATTACATATCCAAGCCCCACTGGGGCAAATTCAGTAAGTTAGGTACAAGAGAGTATTGGGGAAACTATGCTAAGTTTTATCTATACCAAAAACAATTACATGTACATGTAGTATGATTTACATGCTTCTTCTTGAAACATTTGTAGACAGCTTATTTTTTTCCATCACATTGTAGTTAACTGATTAGATTATGATAGAATATAATAACATGTCATCCTAAATGTTTTCTAACTGTATCTACATGTATTAGTGACAAAGCTTGATTTTACAATGTACATGTAGTTGAGTATGATCTTTTGGGTCTTTAGGCTTGGAACTTGGTCAGTTGATTGGCTTAATTCCTTTGCTTTGTACAGCAAACAGATAATTCCTCTGCTGATATCGTAACATGCTTTAGACAACAACAGAGTTTGTAAACTGATGTTGTTGCATAATGGTTATATAGTTTGATAATCACCCTTCTCAGATTCAGAAGTTCTGGAATATGGTGACAGTGTCATCTGAATTATCAGTTACTACCAGCTGTCCCTGTATTGCCATGGCAACAGCACATGGCCTCTCCATGTCTGTAGTGATGCGTTTGAGGAATTTTCCTGTCTTGTCAAACATCTCCACACGACTGTTTCCCCCGTCTGCCACAATGATGTTCCCTGCCCTGTCTGTACAGATGCCATAGGGATTGTTCAGCTGACTTTCACCACTTCCCTCACCTCCAAACTGGAACAGAAACTGTCCATCCTCGTTGTACACATAGACACAGTGATTGTCCCAGTCTGACACAAGAATGTTCCCTTCCCCATCCACAGTGATGTACCGTGGGTACTTCATCCCCTGCTGCTGACCCACAGTTCTCACAAGTGTCCCATCTGGTCTGAACACCAAAACTTCACCTTGCCAGTTGCCCAAGTCTCCTGTGGTTTGTGTGATGAGGATGTGGTACCTCCTGGTGTCCACGGTAACTCCTCTCCCCCACCCTGTCTTCTGTAGGTCAAACTTCCTCAGCACGCTGCCCTGTTTGTTGTACTGCACAGCAAAGTCATGATCAGCAGACCGTATCCACCCCACCACCCACAGGTTCCCCTCCCCGTCCATGGCCACATCATTTGGTCTCATGTCCTGATCACCTGACACGACTGTTGTGAACTGTCGGACAAATGTTCCCTGCAGGGCGAAGACTTGGATTCTCTGGTTCCCCCAGTCTGCAACAAAGATCTCCCCTTTCTCTGATACTGTAACGCCCCATGGACGGCCAAACTGCCCTGTTCCTGATCCATGTCCACCAAATGTCACCATCTGAGGCTGACACTCCCCTTGCCTTTGTTTACCATGGTGATGACCTGTGCCCCTTGCTGCAGGTGCTTCTGGGATTGGTGCAGATGGGAGAGACTGGACCGTCACATGTCCCAATACTGGCACGGGGGTGTCTGTGGGCTGAAAGACAGCAGGCTGGGTTTGTACAGGAGTTGGTGCTGCTTTTCCTCTGTACTTTCCTACCACCTCTGTCAGAGCAGTTTGCTGACTGAGAAACTCAACCCATCCCTGCTGCAGTTCTTGTTCTGCTCGATCACAGGCAGCAGACAGTTCATTGATATCTGCCAACACTTGGTCCCTTTCAGTATGTATTCTGTCCAAGTTTTTTGTGTGGTTTTCTTCAGATTCAGACAAGAGGTGGTCTTTTCTCTGGGTGAGTTTCTGCACCATTTGGTTGTAGGCCTGAATGATGCTGTTGTCTCTCTGCTGTTTCCTTTCATTCAGGGTTTTCTCTTTTTCCCTCAGACTTCTGATGAAGCTTAAGTGACTTTCTAAGATGTTCCTCCCCTCATTGATCAAGGCCTGGACTGTGGAACTCCTTTCCTGTGCAGCTTTTTTGATGGTTGTTGTGAGATGATCATCATGGGCCTCTTCAAAACACTGTTCGCAAATTGGAATCTGACATTGTTTACAGAACTGTTTGAGTACCTCAGAAGGGTGAGAACTGCACCTGTTTGCAGACTGGGGTTGTTGTTCCCTTGTTTCCTCAAACAGTGTAGCCTGCTGTTGAAGTCTCTCACACATGCTGGCTATGATGTGACTGTCGGGCAAACCTGCGAACCCCTGGGGTGGTGGCCTGACCTGCCGACGACAGATTGGGCACAAGAGAGGCAGTTGTCTACTTGCCAGGTCGTGCAGACAGTCCTGACAGAAGATGTGTCCACATGGCAGCACCTTTGGCCTGGTGAACAGCTCCAGGCAGATGCTGCAGGACAGTTCTTCCTTGAAATGTGTCCCCAAACTAGACGGTGCAGCCGCCATGATTTTTCTTCTTGCCAATGTGGCAGCCTCGGCCCAAGTCAAAGTCTGGTTTGGACCATGTTTGCTGTGGACTGAACTAAAAGCTGAGGGAGACTGAATGAACTTTTTTCCACCTTTTGATTTATTCCAACCTTAGGGAACTTGCTAAAAAGCTCATTGTTAACCGAAATTTGATGAAAGATTATCTCTGAAATTAAAGTAAGACTATAGTATGATACTGTTCGCTTGTATCTAATAATTATAAGCCAGATGTATATCTCACCCCTTTGCTGGTTTATGAGTTGGTTCAAAACAAAAATTAATGATCAATACCTAAATTAAACAGCTGTGCAGGTGCTTGTCATGTGATTGTTTGCTTTAAGAGGGTAGAGATTTGATAGATAAAGACAATTCAATTCTGTAACACTATAGCATTAGCAGTGTCACTTATTCCTGCTTTAGTCCATTTGAAGAAAAGCATGTCTGATGTCAACCAATTTTACACCCCAAACCAGCCTTGTGTTTTTTTTCTCTGTTCAAAATAAAATTATCATTGTGTTGAAGCACACTATTTTTTGTACAGTGGAAAGTTTCCTGCAGTTCTTTGCTAAGTCAACAGAGGGTGTTGATGCACAGCACCTCTATGGTCCACCTTGTAGATTGATCACTTACTGTAACATTTTCAATAGGGCCCAGGACACTAAGTATTTGCAGTATTGAGGATATGGTAAAAAATAGGCACTTAATTATGGCTTCACCACAAGACATATTGTGTTCCCTCATGTTTCTTCTTCTCCTTCTCCTGCCATTTCTTTAAATGGATTCATCTCTGCCATTTTCCGGCCAAATAACACGAAATTTGGCATGAAGGTAGAGTGGGCAAATACCCCGACACGTTTTTTTCATTTTTTTGAAAAATTGTTTTATTTGGGTTTTTTGGCCATTTTCAGGCAAAAAATATACATTTTGAGATCTGATTCCCAGGTACTAAAACCAAATGACCTGAAATTTGGTGTGGGGATACCTTGGACATATGTCTACAAAAACTCATTCAAGCTTTTGACATACACCACTTTAAAATTGGGAAAAATAAGGCTTTTTGGCTATTTTCGGACCCAAAATGTACATTTTTGGCTCCTGTGCCCTAATATTAAATCTGAATGACCTGAAATTCAGTATGGGGATACCTTGGACGCGTGTCAAAAGAATGCCGTTCACGCTTTTGACATATACCACTATAAAATTGTGTAGAATAGGGCTTTTTTGCTATTTTCGGACCAAAAATGTACATTTTTGGCTCCTCTGCCCTAATATTAAATCCGAATGACCTGAAATTTGGTATGGGAATACCTTGGACACATGTCCAAAGAATGTCATTCACGATTTTGACATACACCACTTTAAAGTTATGTAAAATAGGGCTTTTTGGCTATTTCCGGCATTGGAAGGTTCCATTTCTGCATGGGGGTGTAGACTATTGGCAGCCATCGTAGGATAGATCCATTTTTGGTATGGGGGATAGGGTGAAGCCATCTGCTGCATTTGCTCTCAAGCAAATGTCGGCCTTTCTAGTTCAGGATCATGTTTTAATCCCAGGTCTTAACAACTTTTAAAATCAGGGCTCAAAATATCTTTTCTTCTTACCTGTATTGGTGCAGATAACATTTGGAATTGCATTGAGAGGGATTCCCTCTATACTTGTGTAATAAAATAATAATAATTTCCCAAGCTTTGGACATTTAGACAGAATAGAAAAATTCGAATTCCTCATGAAACTTGACAAACCATGTATCATTAGCTCAATATATATGTTCGTACATCTTTAACTGCGTCAAGAAGCGAGAAGTTGAACCTGTAAATAGTAGACCACATTAGTATATATAGTACAATCTATGTAAGTGTCATTGCTGTATTCTTTTCCCTGTTTACCCATGACCTGTACTTAGCTTGTTAGAGCACAAACGTACAATAAAGGTCTTTCATTCATTCATTCATTATACCTGCACCAGACAAGTCTTCTAATACCTGTACCACAGTTTTTTGTCTTTAGTCAGTCATTGAAATGTGAAATGTTGAAGAGAACTGTTTGTAGTAGCACCATGTTTAATTCTACTAAGTACTGTGCTGTCTTCACTAATTTAAACACAACAGACCACAAAATTCCAACTCCAATTTGTATTTACACACATCTTTGTACATTGTATATGTAAAAGTAGTTGGGAATACACTGGTTTTCATTACAAAATTTACATACTGAAAATTGTCAAGTATTCAAACTCAAAGTTTTATCATGAAGGTCAACAGAAATACATGAACACACAAAGTTACCAAATGTCAATATTCCTTCTTACTTAAATTGACTGTGCCAGAAAAATAACTCATTTAAATCATATTAGATTGAATTATTATTGAACTCTCTGTAAATGCATTCAATAGTGTACATTTTTGTTCTAACCACTTTCTCCTTGTTTTCAATTTGCTCTTTTGTTATGGCCAAACCTTGATTTTAGCTCAGTTTGGTCTAAGACTGAGGCCTTTAGTCTGAAAGCCTGGGCAATTTATTAAAAACAATTCTTTTGATTTGTAGAGCAGTTTCTTATGATAATACAACATCAACAAGCTTTATACAGCAATGCTAAGAGTTAAACTTAATGTAAACTTATATTGTTACAGATTGGTTCAGTTTGATTATCACCTCACTCAGATTCAGATGTTCTGGAGTATGCTGACACTGTGGTCTTCATCATCAGTTACTACCAGCTGTCCCTGTGTTGCCATGGCAACAGCACATGGCCTCTCCATGTCTGTAGTGATGTGTTTGAGGAATTTTCCTGTCTTGTCAAACATCTCCACACGGCTGTTTCCCGTGTCTGCCACGATGATGTTCCCTGCCCTGTCTGTACAGATGCCACGGGGATCCTTCAGCTGACCTTCATCACTTCCCAAACCTCCAAACTGGAACAGAAACTGTCCATCCTCGTTGTACACATAGACACAGGCATTGTTTATGTCTGACACAAGAATGTTCCCTTCCTTGTCCACAGTGATGTACCGTGAGAACCTCATCCCCTGCTGCTGACCCACAGTTCCCACAAGTGTCCCATCTGGCCTGAACACCAAAACTTCACCATGTGTGTTGCCCCAGTCTCCTGTGGTTTGTGTGATGAGGATGTGGTTCCTCCTGGTGTCCACTGCAACTCCTCTGTCCCACCCTGTCTTCTGTAGGTCAAACTTCCTCAGCACCCTGCCCTGTTTGTTGTACTGCACAGCAAAGTGAGCAGAGTCTGTCCACCCCACCACCCACAGGTTCCCCTTCCCGTCCATGGCCATATCTGTTGGCTGCATCTCCTGTCCAGCTGACACGACTGTTGGAAACAGTGGGACAAACGTTCCCTGTAGGGCGAAGACTTGGATTCTCTGGTTCCCCCAGTCTGCTACAAAGACCTCCCCTTCATCTGACACTGCAACACCCCATGGACCCATGAACTGTCCTGTTCCTGATCCATACCCACCAAATGTCACCTTCTGAGGCTGACGCCCCCCTTGCCTTTGGTTACGATGGTGATGACCTGTGCTCCTTGCTGCAGGTGCTGCTGGGATTGGTGCAGATGGGAGAGACTGGACCGTCACATGTCCCAATACTGGCACGGGGGTGTCTGTGGGCTGAAAGACAGCAGGCTGGGTTTGTACAGGAGTTGGTGCTGCTTTTTCTCTGTACTTTCCTACCACCTCTGTCAGAGCGGTTTGCTGACTGAGAAACTCGACCCATCCCTGCTGCAGTTCTTGTTCTGCTCGAGCACAGGCAGCAGACAGTTCATTGATATCTGCCAACACTTGGTCCCTTTCAGTATGTATTCTGTCCAAGTTTTTTGTATGGTTTTCTTCTGATTCAGCCAAGAGGTGGTCTTTTCTCTGGGTGAGTTTCTGCACCATTTGGTTGTAGGCCTGAATGATGTTGTTGTCTCTCTGCTGTTTCTTTTCGTTCAGGGTTTTTTCTTCTTCCCTCAGACTTCTGAGGAAGCTTAAGTAACTTTCCACGATGTTCCTCCCCTCATTGACCAATGCTTGGACTGTGGAGCTTCTTTCCTGTGCAGCTTTTTTTATGGATGTTGTGCCATGGCCATCGTGAGTTTCTTCTAAACACTGATCGCACACTCGTACCTGGCATTGTATACAGTACACTTTGAGCTCTTCAAAAGGGTGAGAACTGCACCTGTTTGCAGACTGGGGTTGCTCGATTGTTTCCCCTGACAGTGTAGCCTGCTGTTGGAGTCTCTCACACATACTGGCTATGATGTGACTGTCGGGCAAACCTGCGAACCCCTGGGGTGGTGGTCTGACCTGCCGACGACAGATTGGGCACAAGAGAGGCAGTTGTCTTCTTGCATGGTCCTGTAGACAGTCCTGACAGAATATGTGTCCACATGGCAGCACCTTGGGCCTGGTGAACAGCTCCAGGCAGATGCTGCAGGACAGTTCTTCCTTGAAATGTGTCCCCAAACTAGACGGTGCAGCCGCCATGATTTTCTTGCTTCCTGCTGATGTGGCAGCCTCACCCCAAGTCAAAGTCCAGGTTTCAACATGTTGGTTTTAGTCTGACCTCTTCCCTCGTGACCTCAATAAAAAGTGGCCGACAGGCCGATTTTTATATCTCATGAATAAACATTATAGGCTCAAGCAAATAAAAACTAAATAAATGCAGAAGGAAAGCATGGATTTAGTTGGCAATAGTGTCATTATTTATAAACATTCAGAATAGCAGTTAAATAAACTACATGTACATGTACTAACAGACTTTTTTTAAAGCTTACTTTTGAAAAAAATAACAACAAACTGAAGAGTGTATTATATGCCCAGGAATTTTTTAAAAAATTGACATGGTAATACACACGTCATGTAGTAACTTATGCCACCCATATACAGGTTTTAGTACATGTGCTTTAGGGAATTAGATTTTACAGTATTTGATTCTGTTTTAAACCAACTGTATGAGGTCAGGTGCCACGGGACGGTCACTCAGAAACTCTGGCACAATCAGTCTACCTAAAGCCCGGACTAAGAGACTTAACAACTCGTTCCTTCATTGCGCTGTTCGCCTCTTTAACAAGACAATCCAGCAGTAGTGCTATATATATTGTACCTAGCTAAATTCTTCGTGATTACTGCGTATTTAACCTGCATAGATTTTAATTGTGTAATCGTCTTAAGATTGAGGTCGCCTATGTTCGCCTATACAATCGTCTTAATATGTGTTCACCTATGTTGTTTCATGTGTACGATGAAGAGTGTTTTTAATGCTCTATATACTATTGTAATAAGGACGAAATTCGGGTATTCACCCGCAAGATCCTTACTGAATAAAATTTGATTTGATTTGATCCCCCCTCACTGATGTTGTGAGTTGGTGTAATCCAACATTAATCATTAACATATTGTGTGATGAGTGGCAGTGTTATTCGCACACGTGCTTGTTTGAGCAAGGAAACCACAACATGCACCAACCATGCAACTTGAAGAGATTTTATTGAGCTCAATTATTAACCTAACAAATAAGCTTCCTCCTGAGGTACAGTAATGTACAGTGTGTACATGTACATGTAGACGCTAGTGAGAGCATGTATCAAAACCCTGTTCATATGGTTTAACAGTACACTGTAAATGTAGGGCAATTACGAGTAAGGCCCCTATAATATATAGGTCACAAGAGTTAGCACCCAATGACAGCCCCTCTCAGCCCTTGCTATCTAACCCCACTTATCATAAACTCTCAATTCAGCCCTTGGCTGGAAAGACTTGTACATGTACTATAGCCGCCGCTCAACTCCACCCCAATTAAAAAGCAAAATAAAATAGAAAGTAATAAATTCACAAACAAAAATAAATCAAATGTCACTTGCATCTGTAACTCGTAACGCTACCTACCTGTAGTACTTTGAAATTTGCCTTTTTCTTTCTGAATCTCAGTTTTGTATTGCACATAAATCTGTATAGAATTGAAGAATAACATTCCCTCTCTTCTAGAGAAATCAAAGAACTTTTCTAGTGTTTTATACATACATTTTTGTACATTTGAGTGTTTTCCAGAGAAAGTCAAAGTTAATTTTATTTTTCCAGAACCCGAAGCGAAAGCCGAAGAATCGCCAGCCGATGAAAGACGGAGACGGAACTCGACGGTCGACGCTGAGCATCCGGCTCTTCCTCAAACAGTTCTGCGAGGACTTCCTGGAGAACTGCTACAACGGGCTCATGCGCACGGTTAAGGTATGACATTTTATCTTTGCCTTTGCAGAAGTAAAATATTGTTTTTAGTTAGTTTCTTCTTCTGTTCCAAACACGCAAATTAAGTTAATGACCCGGACCAGACGTTTGTCACCATGGTAATTGGTGTTGGATTACATTGTGTTGCATGCTCCAAGACCTGCACGTACAAAGATGAGGCAAATTTGTGAAGAGTTTCATATTTTTTTACTGTTTCCAAAATCATATCCAGTTGCTTGAGTGACTGGATGTCTAAATTTCACCGATGTACTTGCACACATGCAGTATTTGGTACGTCTGTTTAGACTACATTTCCCTTCCTCACCCCTGGTTGTACATCTACTTGCAGGATAACCTGGTGCGGATGAAGACTCAGGACCACGACGAGACCTACTACCTCTGGGCCATGAGGTTCTTCATGGAGTTCAACCGAGTTCACAACTTCAGGGTCGACATGGTCAGGTGGGTCATAGGTCAGGGTCGACAGGGTCAGGTGGGTCATAGGTCAAGGTCGACATAGGTCAACTGAGTTCACAACTTCAGGAGGGTCATAGGCAGGGTCGACGTGGTCAGGTGGATAATAGGTCAAGGTCAGTTGGATTGAGGTCACAGCCAACATGGTCAGGTGGGTCATAGGTCAGGGTCAACATGGTCAGGGGTCATATAGGTCATTCCACATGGTTGGGTGGGTCATAGGCCAGGGTCGACATGGTTGGATGGGTCATAGGTCAGGGTCGACATGGTTGGGTGGGTCATAGGCCAGGGTCGACATGGTCATGTGGGTCAAGGGTCAATCATGTTGAGATTTATTTAGTAGTTTTCTGGACCTGTATTTAACATTACTGGACACAACATCTGTCTTCTCTGTCACAACCAGTGGAAGCACAGCTCAACTGTATATTGAGTTCATGTTAAATTAAACTAGAGACTAGTAGAGAGTGAGTGATATGTCCATCTCCGCCTTAATTGAATTTCCTGTTTTCCCCCTCCCAGTGAGACGGTGTCAGTTCGCACGTTCCACTTCATCGAGACGAACCTGACCAACTTCTACGAGATGATGCTGACGGACAAGGATGACATCACCGCCTGGTCACGCAGGTCAGAGGTCAACACTGTTCTTCTCAAAGTTTACCTTAGCCTTAAAGGGTCATGTTTTATAATACCCTCTTCAGGGATCAAAATACCAATGTTCGATTAACTTGCAACACTTGCAAAACTTCATTTCAAAGTCTCGATTTGTACTACTACCAAAAAAATATCAACAACTTTGCAGGTTAAAACAAAACAGACTTTGTTGTATTAATAACAGAAAACTGACAAAAAAAGCTTAAGCAGCTTTCTTTCAAATGGCAAATGAATAACATGTTTATGTCTACTCTATTGGAAAGCCTTTCCAGAACATTATGATGGTTTCCTTATTTCCTCATTTTTATGTTACCTGTAGAAATAAGGATATTCCATTATAATGGTAAATGCACTATCTACTATCTATAGTATTAGTTGACAATACATGTAAAAGTTCTTGACTTTGCTACCCAGGATGCACCTTGCCCTGAAGGCGTATAATGAGCTCCTGATGACTGTCAACGCGATGGACTCCTCCAAAGACCCGACCGTGAGGGACAGCGCAAATGTCATCAAGAGTAAGGCTACGGTTTTGTTCATGCTCTCTCTCTGTGTCCGGTTTATCATCTGCAAACGTCATCAAGAGTAAGGATACAGTTTTCCCCTTTTGACTACATGTAAATTAAATATGTTTTGCTACATGTTGATCCCCAAGGTCTTAGATTTCTCAGGAAATGAATCGATAAGAGAGATTTATCTCTGTACCATCACTAGACACCCGGTTTTAGAGAGAGAAAATGAAAGACAGACTGTGGTAGTCAGAACAGACCGGAGAGATTGTGAAGGAAGACGGACAGAGAGTTAGGGATAGGCAGGAGAAATATCTCCTGTGCTCTATGCAGACCATAGGGTTTGGTGCCCATGTCCATTTCTGTAGCCCTTTGGCGACACACAGTTGTGCAAGGCATTACAGCAGGGGGCTGGTCCGCTGGTAGTGCTGTGTCAGTGCTTGCCCTTCCCACAGTCTTTCTCATATGTGCTAAGCAGAGAAAGAAGTGTGTACCAGCAGTAGAACGTATACATCATGTAGGCAATAAAGTTCCATCCCTACAATGTGGTCAAAATGTACAGGAGTGTGATATATGCATAATTGTGTAGATTAAAGACAGTATAGATTTTTTTAATCCTATTTTCCAGGTAACATCTTCTATGTGATGGAGTACAGAGAGATTTTCCTCACTCTGCTGAGGAAGTTTGACGAGACCAAACAACCAAAGTAAGTCAAATATCCATAAATCATGTTGTTATCTTTTTCCACAGTTCTATTTCACTGTTTGTATTATTCTTCATGTACAGAATACGCTTGAAAAAAGCAACGCCTTTAGCACTGAGTGCATTCACCCTGTTAAAAGAAAACAGAAATAAATAAACATCTTCAGCTTTCATGAAAGTTCATCTGTGTTGTTAGTTACATGTTTAAAGTTAAAACTTTTGGTCCAACACAAAAAATTCTCTCACCTAGAGCTTTCATCCAGTCACTCTGGTCTTCCTCAGTTTACGTCACACTTCAAAGAAGCCAAGCTTCACTGGGTCAGTTTACTGAGGAAGACCAGAGTGACTAGTTGAAAGATCTAGGTGAGAATTTTTTTGTGTTGGACCAAAAGTTAAAACATCTTCAGCTATTGTTATTTGTCAGTACACTGTCTCAGGATTGGCACTTCAAGTTTAACGGTTCGTCTTTGTTTTTTTTCCTTAGAACATACCTGAAGGACCTGATTGAGACAACTCACGTGTTTATCAAGATGCTGGAACGTTTCTGTAAGACTAAAGGTCACGTGGTCGTACAGGTAAACACCTGTTCCTTGTGTTATCACTCACCTGTACAGGTAAACGGTTGTTCCTTGTGTTATCATGTACCTGTACAGGACTTGATGTTGATCTTCTTCATCTTGATTAAGTACTGAGCCCCACCCCTTAGTTGGAGTAAAGCTCATTTCACTAAAAGCTTCTGTTTTTTTTCCTAATTTTGTCAGAAAAAGCGCAGGAAGACCAAACGCAGAAAGCGAACAGCTGAACAAGGTAGAAAATATTGCTTTATGAGATTAAACATAATTAAGATCTTCACAACTGCATACATGTATATCTTTACTGGAATTCTAAGCTTAGTCTAAGTTTGATAATCTTGATTGAGTAATATTATGATAGCTTATTAGAGTTGAACCACTTTCTAACACCTAATCTGACAAGATATTGAATTTAGAAAATACATTTGTATATAAAACATAACAAATCATGTGTGATAACTGCTTGAAACAGTTTAAAAGCTCCACGATTCTAACACCAGGTTTAATGACATGAGTGAAAATTAATACAAAGGACCAAGATAAACATCTCAAGACATTTCCTTGTATCTTAAGAATCAGCAGGACCTGCGGAGCCCTCAGAAGAAGACCTGAACACGATGTGGGACGGTCTGAGCGGGGAGCTTTCAACGTTCATTCAGGGGGAGGGGGAGCTGCCTCAGGACGTGGCTCCGTTTGATGCAACCCTCGACACCCCCCTAGAGGAACAACGGTCGGTCCCCAAAAATTTTTCCAACCTGTACAATTTCCTTTGTGAATTTTGTGCTCTGGAAACAGCAAATTTTAAGACTATTACTTTCTTTGTGTGTCTGTACCCTGTTTTCCAAAATGATGGAGTAATATTTTCAAAAATTTGATCGGCCATTAATTATCCTGATGAAGGTGACAGTGGTCATTGAAAATTTGATCTCTTGGTAATCTTGCACACACAGTCGTCCCTCAGTAAGACATCTGGAGTGTGACAGGCTGAATAAAAGTTCTACACTGGAACTATGTGGCTCCAGATGTCTTACTGAGGGACGACTGCGTGTGCAAGATGTCGGTTAGCTTGAGGAATGAATCCCCTCTCCTATATAATTCAAACTTTGATTGTTTGATGTTTTCCCCAGTGTCCAGGCAATGATTTTGATCCAGGACAGTTTGAGAGGTGGAGACCCGGGTAGAGCTCTGGCAACACTCCGAGCTGCAAGGTGAGCATGTTATCTTGAAGTAATTCTTTCCCATTCTCAGAACTACCAATAGGAGCTCAGGATTCCCTGTTACTATGGAGACCACTCACTCACTCACTGTCCGGTTTATCGTCTGTTGTTCCCCGTCTTCCGAGGGTTAGACGTGCTTGCACAATACATCTGGGGCTTGATGGCAGCTTGCCACTTGTCTCTGTCCTGTGGGTTGATCTTGTCCAAGTTCAGGTGGTGTGGAGGTCCTCCTTTATGTTGTCAAACCATTTCCTCCTAGGGTGACCACAGGGGTTTGGACCCTCCACATCCAGTGTGAGGATCCTTTGTCTCCGACAATATGGTTACAAACAGTTGCATACATGTAAATTAACCAGTCAGGATTAAGATGCTCCTATTTCTCCTGGTTTAGAAGAGTTGGCTATCAAGTTTTGAATGTCCGGTCTAGGGAAAGTGCTGCTAGAAGTTTCACTCTCTCAAAGGGTCCTCTCCATCCCAGAAAATCGTACATGTAACTGTCTTCAAAAACTTTTGAGATACTGATTTGACAAGCTAACAATTGTTGGTAAAAGATATGACCCTTGTGACCTTGACCTGTTCCAGAGAGGTGTGGCCTGACGGAGCGTTCGGAACAGCTGACATCTCGCAGGAGGACGAGTTTATGGCGCTGAGGGAGATCTGCTTTACCGCTCTGCCACGTAAGTAACACAACAGTTAATGTTAACAGTGCCTCCTAGGGATTACGATTGGTACTGCATCCAATGTCTCTTTTACTACACTGCTACATAATGAAAATGTTGTGAAATGTGTAGAAAGAAATTGTTACAAATACACCAGAAAAAAAAAGAGTAAGAGTTAGGGTAGCATGCCTTCTGTTCCCAACAATGTAGTAACAGTACTATCTTGCAGTGATAAGTTGAAACATTTCCTACGAGTTACATGACAAATATAGAGTTACTGTACAGTAGTTTTCCTAATTATTAGTGACCAGTGATTTTACTGTGAATATTTCCAGGCCCTGCTACAGAACAGCCTGAAGACAACCCTGAGCCTGGGGAGGAAGGAGGTAAGTTTTCTTTTTTTTTAATTATTGAAATCAGAAATGTTGTGTAAGAGGGTGGGGATATATTTTTCATTGTAATTTAATCTTGCTTCTCAGTGTTTATTAGTTGAAGGACTATTATTTGTTCTTACCATAACATTTGTAGAATGGTTTATTATGACTGTGACATTATCACAACAGTCGCAGCCCGAAGGCTGAATTTATGGAGCAATATTTCATTAAAAATCATTTTCTACACAATCTAAAATCAAAAGCAAAAGTTTTACAGTCAGCATAATCATCCATATATACACAACGATTCAGTTTTTTACCTTTTATTTATTCTTCTACTTTTATTTCTTCTTCCTTTCAGATGCCGAGGCTGAGGAAGAAGAAGTGCCCCAGTTTAACGTGGCTGAACAGGACTTCAACTTTCAGGACTACATAAGGAGGTGAGACAAATGTCTTGAAAAAGTCTTAGTTGCTTCATTTTCTTAACAGCTTGAATGTTTATTGGAAAGAGATAAAAATGTAAAACTTAGATTTCTAAGATATTTCAACATTTTCAAAATGATCCAATCATTGCATGACTTTTTCTGTCAACTCAGCAATCTTTTCCTGGTTCTGGTATGATCTTATCGGAATCTTGGCAATTTTTTAGACTAATGACAATACCTGGCCAGACATTGACAATACCAGGCAACAAAGTTAACAACAGCAGCTACATTGTATATATCTGCCTTAAGAGTTCACTAACTCCATTACCTCTCTCATTTCTCCCCAGATTTGCCAATCCACAAATGCTGAAACCTTACGTCCGTTTGCTCGCTGATTACCGTACCAACTCCACACACATTAAACACTGTATTGCCAAGATAACTCTACTGTAAGAGTTGAATAACTCAATTTATTCTTTCTTTCTTTTTCAGATTTGCCAACCCGCAAATGCTGAAACCTTATGTTCGACTGCTGGCTGATTACCGTACCAACTCCACACACATTAACCACTGTATCGCCAAGATGCTGCACCGAGTGGCGTGGGACTGTAAAATGGAGGGCCTGCTGTTCCAGATCTCTCTTTTCCGCATCTTCCAACGACTCTTGGAGGATCCGGCCGGGTCCACTTACTCGGTAGGTTCAATGTCTTATTTGTTTAAGATTTGTTGTTCAAGATGTAGAAAGATTTTGAAACTATCCATTGAAGATGCCCCTACTTTTTGTACATTTGACTACTGAGTTCCACTCTACAATTATAGTTATAGGACAAAAACACTTAATCTTCATTAGATGACTGCAAATTTTGCAGTCATGCCCATTTCTTGTTGCTATTTTTATTATTGTTTATGATAGTTCATTGCAAACTTGTGCCCTTCTGTTATTACTAATTGCAAGTGAACAATGTGATACATACATATATACTACAAAACTAAATGAGTGTGAGAAAAACAATAAGGTTTGCACTATGTTGCTGGTCTGTACTGAGGTTTTGGATACTTTATTGGAACTTTCATTGACATGTATCCATCACCTTATGAAGCAAGTTTAAACTGTAATTACCAACACAAGAAATTGGACTCACCCAAATTTTCGACTGTACAACTCCAGTCTTTGTCAAGGAATGAACAATCCACCGCTTCCGTGACGTCACACAGATAACACACGTGACTCTGTGAGCAGTGGATCATAGGTTGCAGAAAGTCTGTGTCTCTCTACCTGTTTCAACCTTGGTTTGATCAATCTTTCTTGCAGCAGCCATAAACTATCTTCTTCATCACCCACAAGTTCCCTTTTCTGTTCTTCCAGGAGCTGACCAAGTTTGCTAAGTACGTGCTGGGGCGTTTCTTCAGCCTTGTGACGCGAGCAGGTCCCTCGGACGGGAGCGGGAACATCTTCCCGGAGCTGCTGTTCTGGAAGGGAGCGAAGGAAGCTTACGAGATGACAGAGGGATACGGGTCATACCAGGAAGTGTAAGATGTTTTCATTTCATCTGGTTTTCTAGAATTCAGGCCATCTTGCATTTTTAGATTTATTATTTACATGAAATCCCACCTGCATGTGCAGGTTAGTGGAGGTTCATGTAAAATTAGATCAGGACAGATTTAAACTGATACACACAACTTAAACTTTACTAAGGTAAAAGAGTAGAATCTTTCAGACATCTTTATTTAGCTACTGTTTACTCTCAGTGCTGTCCCTGTAAAATTTCAAAACAAAAACAAAAAAGTGATTCACATACTTCCCAAAACAAACATACCAACAAAGCCAGGAAAACATTTTCACATGATTTGACATAAGACAGAATAAAACTTTAGTAGCATTGACAGACTCATGAAATTATGGCTAATTTACAAATACTGTACAATATGGTCACGTAATGATTACTGGAATAGCAAAGTTTAGAATGTTAGCCAGATGTGGGATAGGGCTCTTTTTTGTAGTCGTTGTCTGAAAAAAAGCCTTTTTTGCTTGTTCAGGAGGAAGCAGAAGCGCGGAGGTGTGGAGTGGTCTCCAGATGAGCAGGAGGAACTGGTCATGTGGTACAACAGGTTCAAGGAGGAGGGAGGAGGTGGGTGGGGTACTATATCTGCCCAGGTGTTTTCTTCTTCTTTCCAATGTTAGATTATTCTGCTGCTGTTGTCCCTGCCACAGGGGTCGAGAGTAGTCAGCTAGTAGTACATGTACTGGTCTTCACACTGCTCTGCCAGGAGGCTCTATCCAGCGGGTTTACACCGGCAAGGCTGCGCTCTCTGATGTCCTTCTTGACACACTCCATCCAGGTCTTCTTAGACAGTATGTTCAGCACTAGGGATAAGGATAGCTTGTTCAGAACTTGGACTGTACTCACTTCACTAGAGATAGCATCTTTAATATGAGGATAGCATGTTCAGCACTAGGGACAGTACCCGTTTGAGCACTAAAGTTTTTCTTATCATTTACTTAAGTTTACTTAAAGACCTTTACTTACCTTTACTAAATAACTTCACCTACAAAAGACAGCTTCAGTGTGTAGACTTGTGTAATCAAGAGAGAAGACATAATTTTTAACCTGTTTCCTTCAGATGAGGACATTGTGGACCGGATCAGACAGAACATCTCTGACCCCAACAAGAACAGACAACAGGTATGTTATCTTTTGACCCTATAAGATCACTAGAAGTCAGAATTTTTTTTTTAGGTGCACCCTAATCAGTCGATGCCTAACTGCCTAACGCCTAAAATCTATGAATTTTCATGAGAATACCAGGAGAAAACCCTTAATTTGAACATTTTGGGAGAGCTGCTAGGATTTGCGGGAGAGGGGGCGTATTCTTGATTCATTGCTTTTGAAGTCTTTCTTAAAAACTTTTAATAATCATATCCCCAAGTAAATACTGTATGGCAAAGTGTCTGTCTTCTCTGTCATGACCAGTGGAAGGAGGAGCTCTTTAGTTAGGTTTGAGATCACTTTTAATGTTTTATGCACTATGATTCTGATTATACAAATCTTTTTTTAATGTTATTTGCAGATTATCACTCAGCTGGTGATGCAGGGAGTTGTCCAGGACCGGAGTGAGCTCAAGAGAAAGAAGCGGTAAGAACATCTTTAAGATTTGGTATCAATGAAAAACTTGACTTTGGAAAGCATTCCAAGAATTTAGAGTTGTTGTCGATCCTTCTTGGATGAAGAATGGTTTAAGAGTTGTCTTTGTTTCCATCCAAAAAAATCCTGTCTGGTTGTTTTGTAGTGTGAGAAGTTTAAGTCTCCTTTTCTTGTGTCACAGACCACGTCACAGCGCCATCTGGAGAGAGGAGGAGGAACTGCAGCTTCAGCAGCTGTTTGACAAACACAAACATTCTGATGGTACGACTGAGGACCCTATATCTTAAAATCCTTATAAATATAGTTCACACCCTTTAGGCTTAAACAAACATCAAACCCCAAAAAATGTTTCTTTTGTATAAAAATATAAGTTGATGTAATCATCATCCTCATAGTATAATTGTAATTTATCATGATTGAATCGTTAGATTTGGATGGCTGTAGCATATCCAGAGTTTTCTGAGATAATTTTGTATTATTAGCAGCTACTAGTATTTGTAACTGACATTTTGTTACTGATATTTGTCATTTCTGACATGATAAATAACTGATAATTTTGTATAAATGTTACAGATCCAGTTGGAGACATTATGTCTGAGATGACAGAAAAGCGGTCAAAGAAGAAAGTGGTTGAGAAGTTGCTGGACATGGGTCTGGTCTCGGACAGGAAGGACCTTTACAAGAAACGCCGCCGAAAGGGAGGCAAGAAAAAGGACAAGGAAGAGGTAAAAATATGTCTTACAGACATCTACAAATGTAAATTGAGAGAGAGATATACGGATATAATTTCTGATATGATAGATGAGTCTTTATAAGAAATGTTGCTGAAACTTTAGTGAAAGGGAGACAAGACGAGGGACAAGGAAGAGGTAAAAATATGCCTTACAAACATCTATACAAACTGTAAATAGAGAGTTACAGAATGATGTGATTTTCTGATATGATAGACTGGTGAGTTTTTATAAGGACTGTTGCTGAAAGGGAGGCAAGAAAAAGGACAAGAAAGAGGTGAAAACGTCTTATAAGCAAATATCATGTATCTATGCAATTACATGACTCCCGACATGATAGGCTGATGAGATTGTATAAGAAATGCCATGTTATCATCAAACTTGCCTGCCTGTCTTTGTACAAATGTATGTGGGTGTGTGTCTGCATGTGTGTGTGTGAGTACATCCATGAATGAATGTGTGTCTGTGTGTCTGCCATCTCTGATTCGTTTGCATGCATGCATGTGTGTCTACATGTATATGTGCTCATGAGTGCACATCTCTGATTCCCTTGCCTCCTACACTACAGGATTTTGTGGTAGAAGAAGATGACGACGACATGTCCAGACTAGAGGAAGGTGAACCAGTCCCCTCAGATGCAGAACTGGACGCCGCAGACAGCTCGGACTCAGACAGTGACGATCAGAGTGAGGAATCAGATGAGGAGGGGGGCACTGTGCCTACACTACTCAAACGGCTACAAGATGACGGTAAAAATCATATTTTTTTAAATGTCGTAATACCCAGAAAGGTCCAAAAAGAGGCTACTAGACTAAGTATTTCCTTTAAATAAACAAATGTATAAAGTAGAAAGAAAGGGTTCATCACACCGCAGTCATCCCTCAGTAAGACATCTTGAGCCACAGAGTTTCTCTTTGGAACTCGTGTGTCTGCTAGTGTTTTGTCTCCTGTTTTCCACTTCGTACTAATACTTGAGAATATATGGGCCAGCTGTTGTAACAGAAGGCAGAAAATATATATTTTTTTCTGTTCACCACATAAAAAGAATCATGGTGAGCCTGTGACTGGATAGTTTTGGGATCCGCAAACTTGAATGGATGATGGTTTTATGAAGTTTGTTTCTTAAGGATATTGTCAAACTGAGGTTTTTAAATTCAAACATTATTCCCCAAAGGATTTGGAGACCAGCTACAGTGGATTGCGTCTGGTTTAGAGAGAACGGCAGAGGATCGAGAGACAGATGAAAGCGGGGAGTCAGTCCCGATCGTGCCGCTGACAGAGGAGAGCGAGACCGCCATGGAACACCGCACATTCCAGAAACTCCTCAAGATGGTCGGACTGGCTCCTCCCGCTAACGAACAGGTCAGATATTTATTTTATCATGAAAGTTCATCTGTGTTGTTAGTTACATGTTTAAAGTTAAAACTTTTGGTCCAACACAAAAAATTCTCTCACCTAGAGATTTCGACCAGTCACTCTGGTCTTCCTCAGTAGACTGACCCAGTGAGGCTTGTCAAGTGGCTTCCTTGATAGCCAGGTTCCAGGAAAATACAAAGCCAAGCTCTGCCAGTTCACATAGAGTCACCCGGACACTTTGTTTCACTTGACACTGTAAGGATTTTGGACACTGAACAAGACTATTTCTTGAGAGGGGTGAAGGAGGCCATATACATCATGCCCCGTCGCCCTTCATTGAACCGTGACGGGGGCCGACATCGTCTACCAGATACCTTTGACCCAGTGTTGACGTCACACTTCAAATAAGCAACGTAATTTTGTTGACTTTTTTTACAGGAATCCTTCTGGAGAATACCTGGCTCCTTGTCCGCGGCCGAGCTCAGGAAAACGGCGGACGTCCTCACCGGGAAGGAGGCTGCGGACGACCTTCCGACCAAGAAACAGTCAAGCAGCAGGTACAAAGCCTTAAAGGAACTGGCCAAGAAACAAGGCAAGGAGAAGAAGAGGGGGAAACCAGCCAGACAAGGTAGGTTAAATTTCATAAGGCCACACCAATTTAATTATGTTTACCGAAGGAAAACATACTGTTTTAGCTCCATTTCTTCTTTTTCTTCTGTTCCAAACACTCTGACCTGGCCAATGGCCTCTTTTGTTGACGTCTGTCACCATAGTAACTGGTGGTGGGTTACATAATGTTGCAATCTCATAGTAGGCATGTACATGTAGACTCCTGTCACCATATACATGTATGTGAATGTGTTTGAGTAAGAATTAACAAAGCAGACCATATCTGAAGGTAAACATTGTGCATTTGCTTTGCAAATGTTACTTTTCTAGTTTGTTGTTTTAATTTGAAGAGTCTTACTGCACTGTGTAAAAAAGACTTTTTCAAGCGTAGAGTCCTAGCTTTAGGCAAAGTGAACGTGTTGCTGTTAATGTTCCTGAGCTATCTCTCTGTAGCAGTCGCAAGTTCAGGGGGAACAAGGTCGTGCAGAGGGTGATCAGGGTTCAGCATACTGAAGTCTGGTATTTTATGTACATGTATTCTAGAATTATACCAGTAGGGTCTGCTGATTTTTTGTTACTATTTTACAGAAGAAGAACCCCCTGCTGTCAGTAAGTCAGGAAAGAAACGGGCCCGACAACTGGACTCTTCAGATGAAGACGACAATGAAAGGTGTGTGTTCCTGTTTCCATGATTATATAATATTTTCCGTCTCACACCGGTGTAGATATGCACTCCAGACTTAAGATTCAAGAACATCATACTCAGAAAGCCTGTACCCTGAGTTAGACTTGCAATTTAGTGCACTTGAAAATAAGGTGGTAAGTAAGTTCCAGTGTCTATATCTGTATCGGTATAGCTGGTATAACCACCTTTTGGCGTAACAAACCAGTGTCAATGAAGATCAGATATCAAAGTAGAACATTATGTAATACACAGCAAATTAAGCAACTGGATGAATGCTCTAAAGAGTCAGACAGCAGCCACTGTCTTTCATCAGTGACAGATAGTCTGAAGACTTGAGTGTATATAAATAAAGTTTTTGTATAACTTGTAGTCTCTCCAGTGTGTGAATTTCTAACTTTGTACAGTGTAAGACAAGAGTAACTGGAGTGTATATAAATGAAGATCTTTAAATTGTAGTGTCTTCATTGTGTGAATTTCCCCAACTTTGTTTCTGCAGTGTGACGTCTGGTAGCTCCAAACGCAGCAGGAAGGGTTCCAGTAACTATGACCAGGAGGAGAGCATGGCTGCAGAGGGAGAAGAAGGTGGGTGATGGCTTTACTAAGTTTCAGTTTCCAAATTTGGCTAAATTCTCCTGACTTTCCTGCCTATATGCACAGGCCAGGTGCTGGCCCCTTGCTCCCCCTCATATGGTTCCTCCAGCCAGCTCTATCAAGGGCAATAGTCTCTGCTTCCCTTAGGGTAACCCCTGTGTCACTCTGAATCTGGTCTTTCCACCTCTTGGGTGGTCTTCCGTGGGGTCTGGGTTTTTTTTAACCCCTGGTGGTATGCCTTATAAACTAAGGTGTTTGCTGGTCTTCGCATCACATGTACAAACCATCTGAGCCTTGTAGCACGTATCCAATGATGGTTTGTATAACCCTTCTGGCTTTAACGTTTAAGTCTGGGATGAATCTTAACTGTACTATACTGGTGTCTCGGTAGCATGGCCAGTGTCCAGTGATTAGTGGCCATACATGCCTCTTGCACTAGAGCTTGTGAGTTTGAATCCCAGCTGTTGTCGCTCACCCGACATGCACGCTACTGAAAAGGGTCACAGATCTTATGACAGGACTTTAAGCCCTGGTCCACTGTGTTTTGTGCTTGTCAAAGAGCACTAGGGGAATTTCCCTGGTACAATGAATCTGTAAATAAAATACAGTACATATAGCTTTTGTGTCTTCTCTGTCACGACCAGCAAGTTAAACTACAATTGTAGATTGACATCACTTTTTGCGCTTGTTTGTTACTCTCATCTCATCTGTCCCTTAGTCTGATTACCAGTAATATATTTGACCGTTGGGGCACCACAGAAGATCTAGGAACCAGTTTTCTCCATCCTCCTCATTTTTCTGTTATTCTTAATTTGAGATATTCTTCATGCATTTTTCATGTACATTCTCTTGCATTGCAATTTTCAGACAAACCTTCAGAGGAGGCCACAAACATGAAGAACACCCTGGACTCAGACTCAGATTCTGAGGATGACAACGTACCTTTACGTCAGATAGCACACGCTCGCCCGCGTATTGAAAGCTCTGACAGCGAAGAGGACAAGTAGCCAAAGATCCTGTTACAAAGTAGTCAAATTTTTCATGCATTTTCTTTGTATGTTGTAATGAACATGTGCTAACTTTGTTGTACAACTTTGAATGAACAAAGACCCATGATTGTAGCAATTGTGAATGTATCTACTGTAACTTTAGCCAAAGATACAAAGTAGCCAAATCCTTATTGTTAGCATTTGTAGTGTTACAGTATTTTGTGTTGATTTTGGTGTACAACCGTTGAATGAACAAAAGAGCATTGTAGCAAGTAGATATTCCTTTAACATTTCTCTGCCAGTTTACATATGTCTGCAACTTTGAAAACTTAATATGTGTTTGAACTTTGAGACACATTTTTGTTGGAGGAATTATGTTTGTAGCCAAAGACACACTTATGAAATAGCCAAATTTCTTCATCATTGTTGTAGTATTGTGCTTATGTTGGTGTGGATAGAATCAACTCCAGTTACATGTATAGTTTATATGTTGTGTGAAATCCTGAGGCACCTTTAAATCAATTGAAATCTTGAGTAACTTCAGATTTGTGCAGCTTAAGAGTTATGTAAGCTTTTTCTAGTCTGGACCAAGTGTCTGTTACCAACACGTATGTAAGATCCAACATGTACATTGTGAGATGCACTTTATAGTTGATCAAATCCTTGAATGTCTTCAGACTCAAGTTGCAGACTTTCTCTAGCAATTCACACTAGAGGCAGAACTTCAACAATTACATGTAACCAGTACCAACACCTTTGTAAGGTAAAACATGATCAAATCTTTGAATATCTTCAGAATTGAACAACTGATACATTATATTATTAGTAAGAGTTCTCACCTTTATACCATAGTCAAGATTGTTGTGTATACTAGTATGTTCCTAACACCTTTGTATTGTAAGAGACCTGTACATTGTGAAACGCACCTTAACTTGTAACTTAGACATGTATTGTCAAGACTATTACTAGTATGTGTATGTTTCCAACACCTTTGTATGGTTAGACATGTACGTTGTATAAATGCAGCTTAAACATGGTCAAACTCTTGAAACTTATACAATGTATTAGAGAGAGTCTCACTTAATACTATTGTCAAGACTATTGTGTGTGTGTTACTAACACCTTTCTGTGGCAAAACTTGTACATTACAAGTAAGTTATCGACGTAAGATTCCTAACTTTACAGTATGTTTTTTCCAGTATTTGTGGAGAAAAAGATTTATGTAGGTGTAATGTTGATAATGAAAAGCTTGAAGGAAAATAAAACATTTTCCATGATAGAAGAAATGCTTCTTTTATGATATATTATATTACCAGAATTTGTACAGTGCATGTTTTATGGTTTAAAGGAGAGATTGAGTACTAGTAATCACTACTTTGCATAATCTCCAAGCAGATCCCTTTCGGTGGCAAAAAGACAGTATCAAATTGGCCAGGTAGTATCCATTGGCCAGAGAAAGTCGCCGGCCACCGACGGTAGGGTTAGCGACAAGAAAAACGGCCATATATAAAAATATATTTAACGATCATTCCCCCAGAACCTCTGCTTGGAGAGTAACTAAATTCTGGCCGTAGCCGCTCAAAAATTCTGGCCGTACCCGCGCTCAAAAATTCTGGCCGTACCCGGAACGT